ACTGATTTGTTTTGCAAATAAACATTTCACCAAGGAGCTTATTTTTAAAAGGTCTATCCGCGTTAACCTGCTTTTGCCTTCCAAATATGTATCTTCTAGTTACTTTAATTTGGAGGATAGATTCAGACTTTCATGGAATATAGATAAGCTTTAGCGTCAGAGCGTGCAGCGCCTATCAGAGTGCCGAGTTAGAAAATAGCTATCTAAACCAACAAGCCAAATGGGCAGTTAAATAAAATATAGCACTACCACTCCTCATTTCCACGCAGGTAAAAATGTAGCAAGTGCCGTGAGTCAGGCAGTCTCTCTATATTCTTTCTATATTCTTATCTATGAACCTAAGGATCTGTGCTGTAGGTTCATCCCAGTTAAATTCTCTTGGAGCAGACTCAGCACTGCACACATTTTAGTCTTTCGGTTTGATTAAAAAACCTGTTGAAATTAACAGAAAGATTTTCAGCCACCTAAGATAGTGCCCTCTCTTGTAATTTGATTCATTGAATGGATTTGGCGTACCTCTGCATACAACCAGCCCTCAGGGAGAAGAGCTATAATGATGGCTAATATCCCCCCAAGAATGATGTTTACTTTTTAAATAGTTGTTTTTGCTAACTGGCCTTGCACTCAAAACTGGCGTTGCACAGAGTTTACATTGCCCTGGAGCAGCAGCAGTAGCTTCATGAACCGTTTTCTAGAAGAGTCCCTCGGTTATCCAAACTACAGAATATGGGAGACTTTTTTTCTTTTTTCTTTTCTTTCTCCATGTCTCAGTGGCCACACTGATTGCAAGTTTTGCATAAGATTTATACCAAAATGCAGAATGCTGCCTTGCCGTATCAAAACTTGCATAAAACTTATACCGAAATGCAAAATGCTACCTTGCAGTATTGATGTCTCAAACCTCACTTTCTACCAGGGTGGCAATGTTTTGTACAACTGGCAAGTTTAATTCCTGCTTGCAAATGCCAAGTTATACCAGCATACTTCACCCAAACCTATAGATTAGGTGGAATTTCAGCCATGACTCTCTGGTGAATCAGTTCTCCCTTACGCCTGATAGCTACCTATTCATATACTTTGCTGCCATCAGCAGCAGTTAGGTAATGAGATATTTCAAAGCACTAGGTCCTTGTATATAAGGATGCTATAGGAATGGTGTCGATATGAAGAAGAGTTTGGTGAAAATACCACACTCACGCAGGTAGAGCATCAAACATGATATAATGCACTTCAGCTTAAAATTGTTTTTATAGCCAGGTTTGTAATACTTCCTTTATATGTTTGCAGTGGAAATAGAGGATCAAAAACATTTCTAGGCCTTGATATTTTGGAAGGGTTATGGACATCTCAAAAGTGTGTGGGGGAGGGGGTGTCCCCCTTCACAGGAAAATGTTTGTTTCCATTTATTTTCAAAATAAAGCTTGTCAACTTCTAAAATTTCAGTGGTCTTTAGATGCCATGAATCTCTCTCAGAAAAATCTTCTAACGTAACTTATTCTAATAATTTATTTAATATTACTTCTTATACAGTGTTGGTGTTGCTGTGTAGAACAGTCTCTCTAGTCATCACAACTCTGGGTGTAACGCGGAGGAGGCAAGGCTGATGCACAACAGTTTATATATAGGAGCAGTAGCAGATACGGCTAATGTCCGCAGAGCTATAACAAACTACACCTTTAACTGGTATTAGAACAGGCTTGAAAAATACATTTTTTACTAACAATGCCCGAAGGTCATTTTTATTTTATTCAAATTTAAGAATTGCTGCTTTTTTAATGTGTGGCATAATTAGAGCAGGGATCTTTGCATCAGCTTTTACAAATTAGGAATTTTGTTACCAGCTGCCATATTCCTGAGAAATCTGGACATCGCAACAGACTATATAGGCTTGTGCTTAACTTCACCAGATGGTTAGTTACATGGCATTTGTTTAGTTCCTGAGGAAGGATTGGTTCACTGAAATTATTTGCCCGAGTAAATTCAAGCATGATGTAAAGGCCGTCGACAGCAAAACAGTTGTTTCTGCCCTGTAGATTTCAGTTTATGTATAAAAGTTGCAAAGGGAAGGTAGGTCTTAAAACAGTATGTGTGCGGCTTTTGTACATTTCTGTATTTCCCTGAATAGATGCCCAGGGTCTTACTGCCGTGGCTAATTCAAGCATCGTGAGGACATGCAGAACTGTAGTCTTATTCCTGCATTAGCAGCAGTGCATCACATTTGACATAAAAAAGAACCCGGTGGGCTTTATATACCAATCACCTATTAAAAGTCATCAATTTTCATAGCTTTGGTCTCAGGAGGACTAGAAATACAATGCAAAGGCTTTTAAGTGCTCTTTTAATTAGCATTTCAAATGAAGCCTTTAACGCATCACACTTCAAGCACTTGCACAAAAATCAAAGGAAAAAGCAGGGGAAAATGTCAATTACTCTTTCATAACAACTGCGAATGATGTTATCATGGCTACAGATATTAAAGTCATTTACTTTCCACCACCAAATAAAAGCTCTACGTAATTAAAACATATGGCTGAAATTAACTGCAAAAAGGGACAGGAAATTGAACATTAAGGGTGACTCTGCCCTTAATTCCCTCTTATCGGGGCGGGGGAGGCAGTACTGAAGCGTTCTGAGTGAAAGATGGACTGGCAGCCTTATCTCTGAATTACCTGCCTTTCATCAGTCACTATTACCACCTGCCTGTTCAGGTGTTTTAAAAAAAATGCTGAAGGGTTATAAAATTCGATTAGTGGCTATTAAAAACTTGGACTATATTTGGATGCTAAATTCTTCAGAGTAAAGAATCAGTTCCCTTCCACCTCTGTGTTTTTGCAATGAAAAGAACAGTTGGGGCTTTTAGTAAAACGATGGTTCAAATATCACGTTTAATGAAGCCCATGGAAATTTCTATTCTGTTTTTATTGTTTGCTTGATGTAATGCTGATAACCCCCTCCCTTTTTTTTTTTTAGCCTTTCTTCATGCTGGTTTTGAACCAATACTTAATGAGATTAACTACATCTTTTTACTTCTTAAAGAAATGAATAATGATATAAAAATTCTTTACTGTCCTTGTATTTAGTGTCCCTTGCAGCAGTTTTTTTAGTGGGGACTTTTTGATAGTTTGTTATGAAGTTGCCATGTTAAAAATTCAGAAGGGCAAGCTATTATCAGATTTTAAAAAATCTTTTTGTAAGCCATGGGCTTCTCTCAAATGATCAGTGACGACATTCATGCTTTAAATAAGTAGAAACTCTTGCAAACAAATACATCAAAAGGGGTCCAGTCCTGTAAGCACGTGCAGGAATGATTCCCATTAAAATCAATGTGGGTGACAGCTCCTCTCTGTTAACGTACATTTGCAAAAACTAGCCGTCTTGTTATCTTAGAAATACATATTTATAACAGTCAGGTTACATTTCTATGATTTTACCGTTCCAGTTGCAATTTCTTGTCAATCAGCTGAAAATCTCTTTAGGCCAGCCTGAATTAAGATGTCCATATAAAATAAGTACTGAACAGTACTTTGTGTCCCTATGGGATTGTGTTAAAAGCCTAAGCTTAATTTTCTGACAATTAATTTCCTTTTCTTTTGTCGTGCTTATTATTAAATAATACTAAATCCTTATTTGGTATTCCATACCTTGAGATACTGATGAGATCCTGCCGTCAGGTGACTAAAGCAAACACTTTTCTGAATCTTTACTCCCTTAATCTCTAAATAAGAACACAGAATATTCTCCTTATTTTTGGCTTCTTTTTGTTTTTGATTATGTTCTGTTCTATAGCCCAATTACTGTAAGCTTAGGTTTCGTGGGATTTTTCAACCAGCAACTAAATATGTATTTGAAAATTGAATATGCAAAATGGCAGAATTCTTAAAAGAGCCTCTATTTATTTTAAACTGCCCCTGTATTTTCAGTGTCATGTGCCACCAGTTTTCAGTTTCAGAGTTAGCAGCCCGTTAAAATGAGCAGGATAAATCACTTCTTGAATCACTGTCTCAGGACCGTGATGCGGGTAGACACATCATCAGCATGTAGTTGGCAATCAGGTCACATTTTCAACCCAGAAAGTTTGACTTATAAAGTCGTGTTGCACTTACTCTTAGAGGCCCTGGTTTTCTGTAATTAATTTCGATAAGCTGAAAATCTGCTCTGTAATTTATAAAACTATCTAAATGAAAACTGGGATTCTGGAATTGAATTAATTAAGGAAATACGGAACTTTTCAGCAGTGTCTAATAGTCAGGATTCTGTCTGTAATGATGGTATTTGCCATACTTTAATGCATCGTTTCTGTGTTTCCTGCTATTCTACTCTTGATACACTCAGCATCATCGTTGTTGATTTATAACAGTACAGAGACAGCAGGGGGAACATAAGGAAGCATTTTGTTTCAGAATTAATTGTCCATGGATGTGTAAGATTACAATAAGAACAACGTGACCATCTGTAGTGAATATGTTTGATTTATAATCCAAATGTCTAAAATCAAAGTGAATTTAGTACTCCTGAAAGGCACTAGTACAAAAAGCCCAGAGACTCAGGTCATCTGTTATCTGCAGAATTGATACAGTGCAAGTAACACCACTGAGAGTTGCTCCCAGTAGAGGTCATACATTCACTTGGGTGCAAATGCAGTTCAGTCTTCTGTGTTCCTTCATTGTTTTGAAATCACAAGTGAGAATTCCCCATTTGAGCATTCTGGCCCAATATTTCATGTAATTAAATGTTATTGCCCAAATATTGTCCAACACCAACTCACTTTTCACTACACAATTACCAGTTACTAGCTGAATACAACTGTTAAGTCGTCAGTTGATGGACAGGGCTCACTCTTGTTGCATACAAATCTCTGTTTTCCATGAACTAGCTTTCCTGCTCTGGTAAGAGTGTTTGCTTCCATTTGATATTGGCTCTTGAGCGGTCTTCCGTTAAGAGACTGAGATTTACCTCTCTTGCTGTCTCTCTCCCTTCTTTCCCTCTTTCCTTCCATACAGAAAAATTCGTAAGAAGTTCACCAGATCACAGCTGAAAAGAGCTTCCAGAACACCTTGTACTCCAATTATTGCGAAGACAGTCTCTCATGAACAATAGGCAGGCACAAACAGAGCCTGAAACCATCCTGCACTGAAGATAACAGCGACAGCACCGTAATTGTGTCAGAATCATGTTTAATTGTGAACACAGATACAACAGGACCTTCCACAAGCAGAAGAAAGACAGAATCACTGTAAGGCCAGACTGTGGCTGGGTTTTGTGTTCTGGGCAGGATCCAACAGCAGCCCTTTTTTTCTCCCCCGTCTCTGCAAGGGCTACTTCTGGTTAGCTGTGCTAGCCGATCTCCGATTGTCCTACTGTTCTTCCCATCACCAGTCAGTAGATTGGCTGTTCGAGAAGGGACGGGCACTGAACACGTTGGCGTATGGATGCAGAGTATACCCTCCATGTTTGTCTATGCCTTCTAGTGGGATGATGCAAAAATATGCAGCTTTCAGGATGATTGCAGTGTCTTTAAAGCAGGATTTAGCCCTTGAGGGGCTGCATTTTCAAAACCAGCTGCAAACTTTGGGTGTTTGGATTTTTCAGTGTCAATTTGAGTCACTTTGGACTTGATTTTCTGAAGTGCTGGGCATCCAGAGCCTCAAATGAGGACAAGCAGTTGCTCTGCAGTTCGGAAACTTAGACCAAATTAGGCAGTGCCCAGAATTAGTGGCCAATTTTCAAAATGCTGGCCATGTTAACTTTGGTTAATATCCTGGAAAGTGTTGTGTGTGACAGTGAACATCCAGCTGGGCTAGTTGCTTGTGTAGGAACTGGTCCCATTGTCTGTATATTTGCAAGCATCCATCTATTCCTTTGGGCATTTTTAACATTGCTTGAATTCTGTTCTGAATAGAGAAAACCAGCAGAATGCCATTCCCAAGAAAACATGGAGAAATAGAATTTTTCCTATCAGAAATGCCTCTCTATACAGTAATTCTTACATTTTAATACATCTTGATGAAAAGGTGTGTCTTGCAGAATTCTTTGCTTTGAAATTCATGATTGTAAGGCTGCAGAGGAATACCTGCCATGGAGAGATGATGTGCCTTTTGAAACTATTTGTAGGAAACTGTCAGTCCTGCTGGAGGTGGGAACGACAGCAGAGGCAGGTCTTTTTCTACTCAGGTACTTACAGGTTAACAAACTCCGCCCTACTTTGAAATGAAGAAGCAACCAGCCTGTTGCACTGCTACGTAAACTTAGATGTGTTGATTATCTGAGGCGGGTTATGTCCTTCGCTGGATTTGGTTTCCATGTGGCTTTAAAATGTAGTCAGACACTGAATACATTATAAGCTGAGACAAACTTCAAGACTTTTTTCTGATTCTTTACTAGGTAGCTCTAACAGTATTGTCTAGATGTCAGCTCTGTGCTTAGAATGACAAAGACTCGAGTGGTACCTCATGCCTCTGGGTGATCCCAAAAGAAGTATTTCTCCGCCATGGGATTTATGCTCTCAGCCTGAAAGAAGTCTGCAATATCAGCCAATAGCTGGCCACACTGTGAGTGTAGGATTTTGAGCTATTGAGACAAAGTCACCCAGATGTTTCTTCAAGAAAAGCAAGCACATTTGACCTCCTGAAGGGACTCACTGATGATTTGCCTGAGTGATGGATCCAGGCCTTGTCCACTATCCTTCACCAGCAAGAAAAACGTGAATCTGAAGGAGACGTTACGAGATGAAGTGCTTATGGTACCCTGAGCACCTTAGTGAATGTCGATGATTTGGATCCAGTTGGAGAAGACCTGGGATTCATCTGCTTACCATTCCTTTCAGTAGCTGCCAAAGCGTGCGGTCCTAGGAGTCTCTTCTCTCCACAGAATCTGCTTTTTCCTCACAGCAGGAGGGCTTCTCATCAGATAATGAGCAGAGACAACCTATTCGTATTCATAAGAATTGCCTTTAGTAACTGCAACGTGTGGAAATAGCTTCTGTATAATAGCTTCCTCACCCATTAATATAAGGAAAACATGATCATTCAGAAATCTATTTGACTGAAAGTATGAAAAGCATAAACAGAAAGAGCTTTGTCTCCCTCCAGCATCACTGAAATCACACACAGCAGACTTGTTTTCGGTGTCATTAGATGTAAGGTCGTAGATTTTGTATGATTTACCCTGCCTTATTAAGCTTGTACTCAAATTCTTTCTTTTAGTTAGTGTACTGCAATGTCTGGCTAGCGTTCTGTAAAATCTTTGTGTACTCTGTTTTCTGCTTTTGATGAAAGTATTAGTATTTGTAATAGTCTGAAGTGAAGTCATTTTTGTTTCTTTCCCTCTGAGGAGAGAGAGATTTGTAACACGACTTGCTGTTACGCAGCCAGCTGCCTGATACAGTTATCTTTTGCATCAAATCCAAGGTAAGGAAACATCCTTCTTTACAGCTTCAAGCTGAGACGCTTCATCCGGATACGCTGGTAATTATGCTGTGCCGCTGCATGACAGAGTCACTTCACAGGTTGCGGTAGCCTCCTCTTGGGGAGGGTAAGGCAGGAAGGAGACTGTTCGTTGGAGTAACTTCTCTTCCGTCTTTAAACTGTTCTACATGCAGCTGCACAGAGACGTTCCCTCCCCTAAAACGCACATGTGCACAGAGAAACTATACTCCATGTATTGCACATTTGTCTTTTACCTACTCTCTCAAACTTATCTTTCCTGCAAGATGTTCTCCAGGGCTGGATACCTCTGAATGTCAACAGAAAGCATCGCTGGAAGATTAGTTGAAAATGTATTCTGTTGTGCTTGGGCACAGAGATTTAAGCTTGGTAGAAACTGTCACACTTCTTTCCACAGTGTCATACAGTTTCATGCTTTCTGTTGAGTTAAAGATTTGTTCACTGGCTAAGAGCAAGGATGACACATTCTACTGTAAGCTATAACGGTATATCCGCAACAAACCAGAGCTCAGTACAGTTTTTGTCAAGCTTCTCAAGCTAGTTATTTTAAAACTAGCTAACATATCTCAGTCATCAACATTGAAACTGAGTATAAACATAAACCTCAGAAACAAGGACAAGAAGTTTTGTTCTTACTGAGAATGTGAGCAAGAGAGTCTAGCCAGCATCATACTGCATTTTCAATACGATTTATTTTCTTGTTAGCTAAATAAGGAAGCTATATGGAAAAACTGCCTCTTATCTTACAAATACGGGATTAGAAAACCATGCAAAGTGCATGATCTTTCTGTGTTCAGAGGTCTCATAAAAAGTAGGAAGATCTTGTTAAAATGCGCACATTACTGATTTCAAGTATATAACTACTTTACTCTCTTGAAATATTTTGTATATTTTTTTCAGATTATTTTTAAAGGCTGCTATTTAGTGATGGAAATTTTGGTTTTGTAGGATGGAAAAATGAGGTTTTGAAATATGTTGGTGGTATGAAAGTAACATCCTTTAAATGAGTGTTTTGTTTAAGGCAAATAGTGCTTTTGTTTCTGCAGTCCTAGCCTTGTAGCAATGTATGAAAAACGGGGTGGGGGTTGAAACTTCTTCTGAATGATGAAGAACAAACAAGTAGTAAAAATGGTGAAATGGAATTTGCACTTACGTTATGTACACTTTTTATTAATCTACAGTAAGATTTTTTTTTTTTATAAACATGATTTTAACCCAGTACTTTCCTAATTACTAAGGCTTAAATAAAATGGAATGGCTGTGTTGTAGTTCCTGATTGTAGTCACAGCATAAACGTTTCACAGCCTTGTGCAGAGAGCAATTATAATCCTTCAGAAACAGTTCATTGCAAAGTACAGTGGACATTGTGTCTTTATATATGTGTACTTGCTATGGTAATGAAAGTGTTAGAATCCTCTGGAAATTTCAGCAAAACAATATTCATTCTTCATTTTCTCTTGAAGGTCCTTTATATAAACCATGTCTTCATAAACCAGAGTGGGTGTCAAGAGATCTGAGTTTATATAACTGCACAGTGGAATTTTTTGGAATAAGTCAGGACTTTTTTATTCAAATGTTGCATGTTGAGGGAGGCAACCTAATTTTGGAATAAAGAGGTTTAGGATAAGAGTTTTGAGGATGTATATTATTATCGATAAATTTTCAGAACATGCTCCCGTTGCTCATAAAGATTTAACAGTTCATATTGAAATACAGTGTTGAAGAATAAATAAAAACGAAGCATGAAGGAGCTTTCATTTTTAAAATTCTATTGTTTGCACTGAAAGGGGAGTGGTAAAACTGGGCGGCTAAATGCTGAGTGTTTGAGGATGTGGAGCACCTTTGAACTAAACATAGTACTACTTGATTTACATTAAAGTGTCTTTGTGTACAAACGTTGTGACTCTTGGCCCTTTTTGCAGGAAAACGCTTTCCTACGTTGACATTTTCATCCTATTTTATCATAAGCAACTGAACAATGAAGAGACTGAGATTTGATGAGCTGTTTAAACTGCACTATATTTAAAGACAATAGTTGAATTAGGGATGAGGAAAGAAGATTCGGAAGACTGGGAGGGAGAGACAGGAGGTATTGGTCATTGCACTGAGACACTAGAAAATTTCTTAGGAGTGAACTGAAATCTAGGCAGAGGGACTCAGAGTCCACAGAAAATACTGGAAATTGCAGTGAAGTGATTCTAGCGCATGGACCTATCTAAATTTTGCAGATCAGTTCTGGTGACGACAATTTTGGATGGTGTCAGTTTGGTAACACCTAGGACTGATATATTCCAAGAGGTGTGGGATGTAATCTGAGAACTTGTCCTTACTAATGTCTGAAGTAATTTCCTAAACTAAGTTGGGTATTTTTTGCGGAGGAGGAGATCCATACATGGGGCTTCTGAACAGAAATGATGGCTGCTACTTCACAGGTTCCTCCAGGGAAGCGTTTTGCGTCTCCTAATCCCTGCTATCTATCTTGGGGAATGCGGGACTGGATCCATGCGTTATCTGCCTGCTAGGGTTTGAGTTGCTGTCTGATCCACACATCAATTTTTGTTTCAGGTTTCTGCACTTGAACTGATGTATTTTTTTTTCCTCCCTCCCATGAAGAGGGCTGTGGAGCTTCCAAGCAGCAAAACTCCGGTTCTTCTGTAGCCTTTGGATTTATCTGGCATGATGAGTTACATATATTAGCCCTTCTGAGTGGAGAACACTAGTAGCAAGGAGGGGATAATCCGCCCTTTGCTGAGGGAGCTAGGGAAATGGGCATTGCATTAAGCAGACTTACAAGAAACCACAGTCAAAAAGAAGGAGGTCCAAGACACTAATTACTTCCAAAGGAAGAATATAAAACCTTTCCATTGCTTGAAATACATACTTGAGTGACCAGTTTACTCACTAGAACAGTATTGATTTTAAATGTAAAGCCTCAGCAGTGAAGGGACGGGTACTTAAAAGTGTTCTTTTCTCCTGGTTGCCCTCGCACCAGCAATCTCAGAAACAAAACAAAACCAAAAAGCTCTGTACTCTCTACTTAAAAGCCTAAAATAAAAGCAGAAAACATTGGAGAGGGCACTTTACTAGGATCTGAGTTCTTGTTTGGTCCTTGGTATAAGCAGAGCTTTCATAAAATGCTGTAAATGCAGAATACATTTTCTGAGAGACTAATTTGGTGAAACACTTTTCCATAAAGTCTGATGCATTATGGCTTTTTAAACAGTAGAAAACTAGCAGATCAGTGATTATTCTGATTTAAATTTAAGGAAAAAAGCCTAAATAGGCTTTAGGGCCTTGTTATGTTAGAGCCCCTTATCACCACTGTGGCAGGACCAAAGGTTGTTCAAAGAAATGCACGTTCTTCGTAAGCTAAATAGGGGGATCTTTTGGAAATTAGAACTATTTATTACTCTTTTACATTATGTTGACAGGCAGAAGCCAGGCCAAAGCATTGCGTTTGGCCTAGAGTTTTTGAGGTACATATTCAGGTCAAAATCTTGTATAATATCGGTGAAAGGCTCCATGTTTGTGTTTTTTCTGTCATTCAGATAGGCTTTTTAAAGTAAGTGGTTTATTTCTTAAAGTCTGACTTTTCTGCAATCAATAAAAAACAGAGTCAGAGTAGACTATTTCCCCTAAAGTTTCCAGAGTTGGAAGCACTGCTCTGTGCAGGGAAGCGCTTTGATTTGGCAGGAGAGCAGTCTAGACTTCCATTAGAACTTTAGTCTGTTTTCAGACAGTGGATTGAAGAGCAGTTAAAACGAACCATTGAACCTCAAGATTTGCATTTAATCCGTAAGGTAGTTGTGTTGCACAGTCTGCCTGCAGGATCCTGACTCTGTCTTAGCTGTCTGTAAATCTTGCCCTGTTGTTTGTTTTCCCTATTTGTAATATTAAGCTCAGTACCAATTGGCTTTTTCAAGGGGACTAAACTCCATCCGTAGAAATCGCAGGATTTCTATGTGCACAGTTAAGGCATGGTTAAATGTCTTCTCCTTTTATGATCTCTGGTTATGCTTCTGCTTCTTGTGGTACATGTTCAGAAGTAAAAAGGAGAGCTTGACGCTGTTCCCATCCCCAGGGTCCATGGGTTTGGCTCGGTTGCTGCTGAATGCCCGGAAGGGAAGGTTGGATCACTTCTTACTCTAAAATCATAAGTGAAGGGATAGCCCCTCTGGTTCGTGTGTCCATCACACCTAGCGCGCTGGTGTCTTGCTCTGTGGCTAGAAAAGGCTCCCTGGCACTGCTGCAATTAGAAGCTTAATAAGCAGTTGAGCCTGGCTGAGCCCTCTGGAGATGCTCCCATTCTGCTGTTGCACTATTGGAATATGCTGCTAGCCCTATTATTTAATGGCATTTTTGGATCCACTCTCTTCCTGATTCCTTTGCCGGTGCTCAGACATCCTAATCCTGCCATGTTGTTTTCTTCACTCCCTTCAACTCTCATCTCCTTCTAAGAATTTTAGCTCATTTCTTTTCTCAGAGTGAAGTCAAGGAAGATTATGGTTAAGATAGTAGAAGCATCTAGAAGTTTTTTCCCCTCCCACCTTCTTCGTTTTCCAGTTTAAGGCCAGTTTTTATTTTGTTATTTCTTCCTTTACACCTTCCTTTCTGTTGTTCTTTCCTCTGCTGCTAACAATTTATCTTAAATGCCAGGATCTTACTTAGAGTATGACATAGTCTTCAAAATCACAGATTTGTACCTATCAGGGATGAGGGCAGTGAACACCCGACATGGCTTATGGATCAATAAAAGTAGATAGCATATTGGCCAAATCATCAGAATTCAAGTCCGGATTAATATTTTAAACTCACCAAGCTTCGTAGTTGTTTGGAGCCAGTGTCTTTGTACTGTTCATTCTAAAGACAGGGGCCTGCTGCGAACTTGGGATCTCAACCTGTGTTTGACTTTTACATCCTTCCCTAAGGCTAAGTTCTGCTTTGGGGTTTGGCTCGAGTGTATCTATTGCACATGCTTTGACAACCTGTAATTAGAGATGCTGCTTGAATGTTGAGTAGCTTTCTTCTATTTACTGCATGTGTGGATTCAGTATGAAAGATTTAAGTATAAGAATTTAAATGAAGTGACTGTCTAGCTCTGGATTTTCTCCATCTTCCCTTGATGCACTAATGAGAATCAATTGCAGTTGGTTATTATTTTTAAATAGCAGTTAATCTGAGAAAACCTGACTCACTAGCTCTTTTCATTCTACTGATTTGATTTCAGCCTTCTGCCCATCTGGGCCATCCTACATAAACTATTCAGAAACCAGTGTGAAAGCTCACTGGTGCACATCAGCAAAGTCAAAGACATTCATCCTGATAACCCAGCAAGGTGCTGTCTGGAGTAGTAGTCTCTGACCCCTTGTCTTCTTATAGGAAAAATCCTTCATAAAAGAAGTAGCTTTGCACTACATTCATTCTCTCTTGTGTAGACAGAGAAATCATTTCCTGAGTAGATCAATGTATCCTGTTTAGGGATGTTCTGAAAGAATCTCTCCCTCACAATAAGAACTGTAGAATTAATCTCTTTAAAGTTGCATGAAGCTCCTAGAAATGGCCTTCTGGTCAAACCTCTGCATCTGTGCAAATCCTCTTGAAAGTAGCAAAGAATCCTGAAGCAGGATTGTAGGCTAAGCTTGTAAGCTCTTTAGGTTAGGGCTAATATCCTCCTGTAATTATTAAAAAGTACTCTTTAGACTTGCAGCTTGTGTCAATGCCTGTGCTAATAAAAGAAAAAAAAAAGATATGCAGGAGCTGGTCTGGTAGATACAGAGTCTTCCTAGATGTGGGCACAGGAGAGGATGTCCACACTAATTTGTATAGAAGGGGTGTTGTTGTCCAGTGCAAGGAAAAAAGGAAGTATTCTTTTTTGGGTGGTGAATTTAGCTTCTCATAGTCTCTGCACATTTAAATCCATGGTGATTTCTATTCACAGCTTTTTAAATGCTTTTCCTTTCATAGGCAGAAAGATCAGATGATACACTGAAAGGAACGGATGGTTCTATGTGATGAAACATTGCTGTTTCATTATGCATAAACAGGGAAGTTGAAATGTTATTTGTAGAGGATAAAATTGAACTTTGCTCATGATTTTGTGAACCTCTTTATTGCATAGTTCTCCTTCTGCAAACATCAGGCACTTGACAATCTCTTTGCCTTTTGTTATTTCCGGCAGTTTGGAGTCATCTGTTTTTTTTCTGCTGAACTGTGACAAAGCAGCAGGTGTTGGCTGAAAAGAATCAAGATCATTTTCAGATTTTGTGCAAATATTTAGGAGGATTTGTGAAGCACTGTAAAATTCAATTAGATTTGCTTCCGGAGGTGTCTCTGCTCTCCTGCCTCCTTTTCCTTAGACCACTGGTTTGCAGTTCCAGAATAACTTGTCATCAGTTTTGCAAAAGTAGTTGATAGCTAGACCAGGCCAAGGCTTTGGGGTTGGTGTTCACACTGGAAAGAGCCATGCTGGCTGAACGTGTCGTTCTGGAACAGCTATTTTCTACTAGCCCTCTTCTGAGGGTTTCTGCCCTCTCAAGAGAAAGAACAGCATGGGCTCAGCTGTATCTGCTTCAAAAGTCAGCCTGAAAAACAGGCTTAAGCCTTAACTGTATCATGTTGTCTGAAGTGAATGAATGAAAAAGGATTCATGTGAATCTAACAAGAGGGAGGGGAGTAGAGAGGAACCTCAGATGGTAGGGGAAGA